ATCAAACAACTTCTATACAACGAAAGGAGACTGCGACCACACAAAAAGCCATCTTGGTCTTCATATCTTCGAGAAAATATTTTAGCTGATTTATGATATCCACGTGAGTATTTATATGTTTTAATTTTCCGTTTTAACTACATCTTCAAGACTGTCAGTAATTCATATATACGAGCTATGTTCACCCTTTTTCGTTTATGGTGATGAAGACAAGGTGGGTGAATTTTCACATAATGATACGAGTAGACATGACGTTTCCTTTGAAGTTTACTTAGCTTTTCTATCCCTTAAGATATACTTATCCATGGCGCACTGCAGTTCCGACGAACTAATTGTGTAACAAGCTTAATTTCAGTTTTTTCACATTTGGATTTGCTTAAAACTGATTAAATAAAACGCTAAGCTGGCCCCATGTATGGCTAATATTTTAACTCAGTATGATAGAGACCTTTTGTATTAACAAAGTAGTTAACAATTATTCCAATCAAGCACTTCATGAAATATTCGTATTTCATAATTAACCAAAATCTTATAATTATTAATGTACTAAATATGGTATTAATTCCAAGTGTGAATCACAGGGTTTAACCTAAATTATCTAATTTCATGTATTTATTTTCACAAAATAATTATGTAACTTCTTTTAATTTTGCCAAAATTACATAGAAATTAGGTTACTTATTAGTTACACCGAGCACATCATATGATTTCCGCAAATTTTGACGATGGGTAATATATCCATTTGTTGCTACTTCGTTACTTTATTTAATTCATTGCCTGCCCTACAAGCGATCATCTTAACAACTTTAGTATTATACATTTTCTAAAAATTAGTTAATTCTTTTTAAAGAATCAATTTTCATATCCCTAAAGTATTTAATAATCTTATGCCTTTAATTGGAATTATCTTCTTAAGTGGTATTTATCATTTCATTATATTCGCTTTGGTTCTCGACTCTTAATTAAATTTTTAAGTACAAAACCCTTTAACTGTTAATTAATTGGCTTTTCGGATATATCAAACCAACATAACCTTTATTAAGCCTTTTAGGAAGTTCTGTCCTAAAGCATGCCACAGTTCAGACTGTTATTTTACCCATTATTGATAATAATTTCAGGTTATTTGTTTATCTCAGCTTTTTCTCCTGCTTTACATATCATTTCATCGTTTCTACACATCCATTCCTTTATGGAGATGCCTAAAGATAGTAGGCTATTACAGATTATTGTTAATCTAATATTCTTCAAAATGGTTGAAAAATTGAGGTGCTTATCCCTCTAATTTCTAGGTCCTGATCAACTGTGCCCGTTTTATGCAACTGAAACCTTAAAGCAAAACATGAAACTTAAGGTGTTTTTTAGCCTTTGTATGTTGCCTAAAGTTCTTTTTTATATGGCGTAATCTGTGTCCGCTTCTTATGTTCTAATTTGTTTATCGGATGTTTATCCCTTTATAATTCTCTGGATTTGTTATTATTTAGCAGCATAGATTTTCCTATTTCAACTATGAGCTTTTACGAACCTCAAAATGGAGCAATCTTGATCGCATCTAAAATATATCGAGTGATTTTTATCTTATTTCAGTCCATTTGCTAGCCAGAATAAGTTTTATGAAACTGTATTAGATATGCTGATTAGCTTATTGTCTATTTTATCTATTTACTTTCATAAGAAGCTTTAAGGTCAAAATCGAGATTTAATCTTCATGAAACATTTCCATCTATCTTCCAAATTTATATTGTCGAGCTTTTGTAGCTTCCTCTTTTGCATAATCTCATTTCCTAAATCATTATGCTACTAAGTACACAACTCATTCTTGATTAAGAGATCTGCCCTATATTTTATATTTACTTATTGCTGTATTTTTCTCATTCAATTAATCTTTTCATTTTTTTTATCGACTTGGATTTCAGCTGATGATTATAACGATTCGCCGGACTCGTCTTGTCTTGGTCATGAAATATTAGTGGATTTGCCATGCGCTCTTTACGATGCCATTGTCCTTGATGATCCTCCACCTGACTTTCTTCAGTCTGACGGAGAAGATGACCAACCAGTACATAATGTAGACATCGATGACACTGATGGTATAAATTCGATAGTGATGCTTACGAATATATTTCGTGATTTGTAAATAGCCTTATTAGATGTGTTAATCAGCTTATTCTTTGCTTTATTTTCAATTTATTGAGAATTTTTGGGAGCAAAATTCAGACTTGTCTTCATCTGCGTGGAATATTTATACCATTACAGATTTATAAAACTAAACTTGGTCAAGTTAACGATTTTACATTACCTAATAGCATACATAATCATGCTATTTAGCGCAGATCTCAATTATGAGATCTGAGTTAATGTTTTTCTTGAGCCTGACTAAAACTTTATTTTAATTCCTCTTAAAGCGGCTCTGGATGCTCTTTGCGTATTCGATAACATTGATGACCCTTCAGCTGCCGAATTTGTTGAGCCTGACGAAGAAATTGTCCAGTCAATGATTGCTGATTCAGCTAACGAAGAGTTGCTCTTGCAGGAATCAACACTTGAACTTTGCGAAGACCATCGTGAGGAAATTATTCTCAGTAGTCTTTCTATTTATGACTCGCTTGAGAACGCTGCTAGGGATGAAATACCGGATGCTACTCTTGAAGCCAACGATCTCAATCAGCTTATAGAGGATTCAGCCGATTATCCACCTTCAACTTCGGAGGAGTTTATTACTCAATCCTTTGATCATCTTTCGAGTCGGATGAGAGGACAATTTCTAACCCCCCTTTTTCCCACAATCGCGCCTCCAGACGAAGATATTCTTTCTTCATTATTTACATTTGACCGTTCCTTGCCTGGAATGCATAAGGTGACTTATATATCCTTATTATTATTTAACCTGGATATTAAAAAATAGCGTTTTGTCTTATTCTTCCAAAATTCTAAAGTTTGGGGAATATCACATCTCATCTTTTTTTATCAACATAACCCCTATCTTACTTTATTTGCCCCGTAGTTCACTCCAAATTTGTATTTTACCTTTATATTGATGCTCTTATTTCACAAGGCATTAAATTTGATATACCGTATTTTTCGGCGTATAAGACGACCCCCTGACTTTTCCAGTTAAAATAGACTTTTTAAGGAGGTAAGGGGCACAACAAGATCTCGGAACCATAGTATAATTAGCGATCGCTAAACTACATTCGGCGTATAAAACGACCCCCACTTAGGAGCAGAAATTTATGGTGAAAAGTCGTATTATACGCCGGAAAATACACTAAGTGTTTTAGCGAATCTAGTTATACATAATTACTTATACTATGCATCTATTAGGGTTTATC